AAAGTACTCCAGAGTGTTGTTCAGCATGGGGGTGAGTAGAAAATGAAGGCTAATCATGTTTTGGGTGTACTATTCCTTTAAGCACAAGTTTTGTAACTATTGGTTATTTTTGCAAAACTCTTCATTCAATTAAGAAAACCTTTCACCAAATCAGCAAAACATTGTAGCTCTCTTTCAAAAGCTAATAAACCTTGCTTAACTCTTCAGACCTTCTTAAAAATTGTATTTTTATATCTAACAGTTCTAACAAGTCGTTATATTAATAAGCACTCAATGTGCCAACTACAAACTGATGGTATAAATAAAAAAAACATGCGGCTTTTGCTTTCTCTGTGCACAAAGAAAGCTCTGTCAGATTGAAGTCATAATTTTGTCTTAGCTCTGTAAACACACAGGGATCCAAAGCTCACAGGGATCCAAACTTCAAGTATTGGTGTTTATTTACTCACATCAACAAAAGTTTTTTTTATTCTAAGTCAAAACACAAAATTGTGGAGAGAAAAAAAATCTGTCAACATCGTGTCGTCTCTTTGGGTCCGGCTACAAGACTTCATGCACATGCAATTTCCTCTTGTCCAAGGCACCTGGGAAAATATCTCCTGGAATGCCGCATCCAGGCCTGACATGATGCCTGGTCAATACAAGCCCCACCCACCACTCACCCATCCACCCACCCCATGCCTCCTCAGTTGCCAGGAAATGGGTTGTGCTTTGATGGGGATGACAGTCATAGACTCAAAGCAGCTCTGTGGAAACTAATACTGTCCCATATGAGGACATATCTGGTCTCCTCTTCCTATTTCTCCTACTGCTTCACCTCCACATCCTATTCCTCCTCTAATTATTATTCTTCTTGTTCCCTCCATGATCTCCAAACAGACAGCTCACCTGTGGCTTATTTTTAGTGCTTAGGCTGATTGCAAAGTGAACTAATAATCTAAAACCTTTTCAACATGTGACAGTGTGCCAGACAGTTGGCAAAATAGTGTAAATAATATATACAGTTTTTCTATAGTTTTGCTTGGAGTGTGAGTGTAAAGCAAGGAGTTGTGTTTACATTTCTGCTAAAAGAGTGCTGTGCAGAGGATTGAACCCACAGTTTTGCAAAGTTTTTTACAAAATAAAAAACTGAGTGCAAACCAGTGTTTGTGCTTTTAGTTTTGCAAACTCAGTGAGTGGTTTGGTGTGAATCAGCATGACTGTCTAAGGAAAGACTTTACAACCAATCAAATAACTACTATTGAGACACAATAAGGTATTTTGCTTTACACTACATTCATTCACCCATTCACGCACACACTCACACACTGATGGTGGCAAGCTACATTGTAGCCACAGCTGCCCTGGGGCTCACCGACAGAAGCAGGGCTGCCGTACACTGGCGCCACCGGGCCCTCTGACCACCATCAGTAGACAATGCAGGTGAAGTGTCTTGCCCAAGGACACAACGACACTGAAAGACGGAGTCAGGGCTTGAACTGTCAATCCTTCAGGGCAAACTCCTACATCCAACGCCACTGTCGCCCTGTTAATGTTAACCATTTAAACCATATAAACAGATCTTTCATGGCGTAATAAATGCCATCAATTAAACATCTTTTCATTGCAGCTGCAGCCTTGACTGTTAAGGCTGGTTAATGCTCAGAAACCAGGTTGTCTGCGTGTTTGCCGCAGTTACCGCATATGGCCCCGCCCCTTCCGCAGACACTCTGGTGCAGCTCTCCAAAATTGTAGGTGACAGCAGTGAGGAGTCCTGTGATTGGTCAAATCTACGTCTGCTCTACTGCATGAATGTTTCCTGGTTGGTACCTTACTGGCTTGTTTTGTTTGTATGACCGCCATTGTGGAAAACGACTCGTGTAGATGGACCAGATAGAAGAGCGAGGTGCGTGAGAACGCTGGGATCCTTTTTCCTCCTGGATCCCCGTTCTTTTTCGCCCTCGTGTCCCTCCGTTGTTGCACAAACTTGCCCCCACTTCCTCACCGCCTCGGTTGTATCTAGACCCACAGCTAGTTTCTGATGGTCCCTCTTCCATTGTGGCGTGGAATAACATAGCTCAGACCAAGCTTAAATCAAAGATATCTGCATCATAACCAGCCCTTTATGGTTACAGAAGGGGCCTTTTATGGGCCCGCCTCCCGCACAGTGATTGTGTAATAAGCGCAGAACATAGGACCCAGAATTCAGGCAAGACAGACAGTGATTACTTTAAAGGCGCTTATTGAATCCAACTCAGAGCTGTGGATCTGCAGCGGCTCAAGTAAGGCAGGGCACCGCCTATCACTGGAAACTCTGGTGGAGAAAAACACATCTGACAGATGATGATTATCCATAGAACTTGGGAGAATCCAACTGAAGGGCTGCCAACAAGATGTGGCAGGTGCCGCCTGGAGTGAACCAGATGCTACTGTCCCAGAGGGCAAGCATGTTTTCAAACCAGGTCAGGGGAACAGCTTTGAACAGGAACGCTCACAGGTCCAGGAGCCTGTAGCCCGGTCAGGGATTCAGAGCAGGAACAGTTTGGTTCAGGGTTCTAGGAGTCCAACAGAGAGTTCAGTTAGGACGTTCAGATGGGAACAGGCAAGCTCAGCAGTAGAGAGGATGAACAAGGCAGGATATCTGGAACACTACGAAAAAATAATAACTTGTTCTCGCCAATAAGCCAAGACAGGACATGCTCATGTCAGGATCAGGAAGTGAGGAACACTAAGAAAATACTAAAACCCTCTCTCACCACTGGTCCCCGAGAATAAGAACATGAACAATGGCATCAGCAAAAACATCATTATCCTCAATAATCTGGCCCTGATAGCTGGGACTGAGCCATATTGTTACTGCAGAAAAAACTCTCTAGCAAACCAAATGTAAAAACAAAAAAACAGAGTCTACGAAGGATTTACAAAAATAATAGAGTGAAAGTTAAAAAAAATCTTCCTCTCCACCAACTTCTTTGTCTAATATAGATAGATTAACATGCTGGATAGCTTAGCTTTATCTGTTTTATTAGCGCCCCATTAGAGTGGTGCTGTAAGCATATTGTGTTTTGTGTGGTTTGGTCCACTGTGAATGTGATCTAGGTGTGTCATTTTTAGGCATTCAGCTCACAAGTGTAGCCTACTGGGTCATCAAGGTTATAAAGGTGAGAAAGTTACCCATTAAAATCAAATAAACACTTCAAATCAATGGTCATGTTGTCATAATTCATTATTTGGACCAAAATGCTGACTGACGCTCGGGAGAAACATGATGAGATTTGAAAATGAAAGATAATACAGAAAAGGCACAGAAACATAAAAATATCTGAGGACCTGATAAATACTGGCAAATCACTGAGGCTTAGGTAGAGAGGAAAACAAAAGAGGAATTAACTAAATAATAGGATTAATAGACTCTGGCTGAGGGGGAATAAAAAGGGATAAACACTGGAAGGAATAAAGAAGAGAATAGATCACAAAACCCCAAACTATATAACACTACAGAAAGTACAAAAATGAAAGAAAAAAGATAGAGCTAAAAACACATAGAAATAAACAAAAAATGGCTAGAAAATAAATAGACCCAAAATAACAAAACTATCAACGGACTTAAGGCAAAAATCAAAACACAGAATTCCTATAAAAAAATAACAACCCAAAAAGGAAAATATAGAAAATAAAAACTGAAAATATAAAATTAAAACATAAATAACCAGGATCCAGCACCACGTATCAATTTTCAGTGTTATAACAAATACAGTTATTGGACTAAAGTTATAAGTTCATAAAATAAACCAAATAAGAGAAAACTAAAATGCAAAAGTAAATCAAAAGAAACCCAAAACCACGACACACCTGTTGGGTAATGAATCAGTAGCTGGTGTGAAAGTGCAGTGAAGAAAGATCTTTATCTGAAACACATCTATAGTCTGACTCATTCCTGTGTATTTCATTCATTGTGCCGTTGTTCTCTTATAACCACCTCTTTCTGTCTGCACGCTCCCTCCCATTGATTCCAGCAGCCGTTCCTGGAGGTGAAGGTTCTTGAGACCGCCAAACGTTCTCGAAGGAACCTTGGTTTGGACTGCGATGAGCACTCCACTGAGTCTCGCTGCTGCCGCTACCCTCTGACTGTGGACTTTGAGGCCTTCGGCTGGGACTGGATCATTGCCCCCAAGCGTTACAAAGCCAACTACTGCTCCGGCCAGTGCGAGTACATGTTCATGCAGAAGTATCCGCACACCCACCTGGTGCAGCACGCCAACCCGCGCGGCTCCGCGGGGCCCTGCTGCACCCCGACCAAGATGTCCCCCATTAACATGCTTTACTTCAACGACAAGCAGCAGATCATTCATGGCAAGATCCCAGGGATGGTGGTGGATCGGTGCGGCTGCTCCTAGGATGTGAAAGATACACACACTTAAATTCAACCCTCATTAAACCACCCAAAACCCTAACGGAGCTCTCCACTCCACATTTCACTTTCGCTCGAAACATCCTGCTGGGTTTCCATTTTTTTTTTTTTTCAGTAATTAATTTGATTCTAACTGTATAAAAAGTTATAAATGAAAAAAAAGAATCAAAAAAAGAAAAAAGCTAAAGATGGAAATACAGTATTTAATGAATGATTCGGGTCTGCTTGTGGAGCAGCCTCAGAAAACGGTGAGACAAAACTATGTTCTAGAGTCCATGTTAGTTTTGTGATTTCTATTTTTTATGGCATCTTTGTGAAGTGTCCAGGTTAGTGGAATGTGGTGACAGCTGACATGAGTATATTTCATCAAGCAGCGTCAGTTTCTTAGGGTTTGTTCCAAAATATATTTGAGTTTCAGTTACTCTTACTTTTGGGAAATAAAAAAAAAAGTATCCATTTAGATTTCTGCAAAGAAGTTGAGAAGGGCGGGGGGGCATGATCATTATCATTTTGCAATTCATGCATTTTAAAACATCTCAATAGCTGCAAATAATATTGACGACAAAAACAAACAGAGGTTTTACTTTTACTTAAAAGATGTTTGGACAAATTTAGAATGTTGTCTGCTGATGTTTAGGAAACTAAACGAAAATCCAAAACCAAATCTGTTTCCTCTTAATGGCTTTGATATTTACACTTTTTAAGTTAATTAAACTTTTACCTGGTTTAATTCTGTAAAACATGAAGCAGAAGTCCCAGAACATGTAGATGGGAAAGATTTAGCCAATAACACTCAATTGAGGTCTGAGATGAAAACATTGTGCGAATGCAGTTGTGGATTTAGAGGGAAGAAAGGACAACCTTCAGCTAGGTCATTTAGAAACGGTAACATGTGATCCCATTTATCATATATCACTATATAATTAATCAATAAATTAAAAAATGTATAAATACAAGTCATAAAAATACAACTTTGCAACAATACAAGTTCAAATCACAAATTTACAAGTACAAATTAATGAGTACATATCAGACTTTTATTCTTACAAATCACACAAATCACAAATGTGCAAAAAAAAAGAGTCACACATTTACAAGCAGCAGTTATACATTTACAAGTACAAATCACACACCCTTGACATGTGGTAGTGTTCCTGACTTAGAAAAGCTCACCTTTACCGCTCCACACATTCTTGCATCTTATTCTGGTTGTCCTTATATAGCAAATGATATTCTCTCCTCTGATGTCGACAATTTGTTTCAAAGGAGGGTTGTGCAAGCAACAAGACAGCGACCCAAAACACACAAAAAATGGTTCTGCAATAGACAAGGAAGGCTTTAAGGCTTGAATCCCAACTGATTCTGCAAAGAGCAGTGCACAAATATTTGGTAAAATTATACTAGGACCTTATTGACGCCTGCAATAAATGATTTCTCTGCAACTTGCTGAGGGAAGGCCAGTATGTATAATTTTACCAACGAACAAGAAGTTTAAAGGAATAGTACACCCAAAACATGATTAGCCTTCATTTTCTATTCACCCCCATGCTGAACAACACTCTGGAGTACTTTTTTGATATTTCAAATGCATCTGGAGATCTGGGAGGCTTCTTGCTGTCTGCTGACATTCAAATAATGGAGGTCTATGGCGCCCGAGGCAGAAAGGTCCATAAAAGTCCACAAAAAACGTGTCAATATTCCTCCATACTGCTCGTCCAATGTATTCCAAGTGTCCTGAGTGGGTAGCATCCAGAATTTACTCGAAACGAAGTCATTTAGAATGTTTTTAGAGCATAAACAGTAGTGTATAGGATTTCCTGAAAGCGCGCACATGCCCGTTCACGACGCTACGGAAGCCGGCAGACCAAACCAGCGCATTCAGCTCGGCAAAGAACTCATGCTCTTCCTCAACACTGAAGTCCTCAGACATTTTTCTTTCGTTGTTTCTTTCTTTGCACAGGTAAACAGCACATTTCTTCTTCTACGCTTGCATTATTGGCAGAGCAGACGCTGAATGCGCACTTTCATCTGGTTTGGTCTGCCGGCTTCCGTAGCGTCGTGAACGCGCATGTGCGCGCTTTCAGGAAATCCTATACACTACTGTTTATGCTCTAAAAACATTCTAAATGACTTCGTTTCGAGTAAATTCTGGACGCTACCCACTCAGGACACTTGGAATACATTGGACGAGCAGTATGGAGGAATATTGACACGTTTTTTGTGGACTTTTATGGACCTTTCTGCCTCGGGCGCCATAGACCTCCATTATTTGAATGTCAGCAGACAGCAAGAAGCCTCCCAGATCTCCAGATGCATTTGAGATATCAAAAAAGTACTCCAGAGTGTTGTTCAGCATGGGGGTGAGTAGAAAATGAAGGCTAATCATGTTTTGGGTGTACTATTCCTTTAACAATTTCTATATTTACATCTTTGTAAAAAAAAAAATTAAAAGCTTAAATGATGTCCCTTTTTTTCAGTGCTAGACAGTGAAGTAGTAGCTTTGACAGGAAATGAGATTACTACCAAAACTAACAATATATCAAATCTGGGACTAGAAGAACTGAAAAAAAAAAATTCAAAATACCAGCATTAAAACCAACTTTAGCTTAAAAAACATTTGGATTGCATTTTGAAATGCCCCCTTCCATCTCAGCCTCCACCACATCATCATCATCATCATCATCATTGCTGTCATAATGGGAAAAAAATGTTAGTGCTTAAACAGAGTAGATTAGTATGCTCGAAGCTTGTCTTTGTCTCCTGGATGTCAAAGCAAAGATATCCTATGTTATAAAAACGAAAGCACTATGCTGTTGGATAAAGTGAGAGCCTTCTGACATTATATATAAATGATATATGTATATATTAAAAAAGAGGTTACAAAAACCCTTTTGGGGGGCACTCTACCTTACCAACAATAAATTTTGCACTATGGGACGTTCATGGCGTGAGGAGCTGAAGTGTTGTTTGCGTTTTACCAAGCACAAGAGAGCTTGTACAGTATAGGATGAAAAAAAAAAAGAAATATTCATGCTTCTGGTGATAAACCATATAGTTGAGAGGATTTCACTTGTTTTTGATACCATCACACTTCCTGACCTTGTCTGAAGCGGGGGCCTGTCCATTCACACACACTCACTCACCCACACGCCAACACTCGGATTCAATCTGGAACCAAGATGTACTGTAAAGGCAGCCTTAGAGGCCTCTGTTCCTATGTGTTGTGTGTAATATATGTCTTGATCTAAAGAGATGCTTTAACTGGAAGTGGCCCACCCATCAACCTTAATTTGTTATTGTGTAAAAAATTGGAAACTGTAAACGTGCATCTGTCTTGTATTGTTTTCCTTATGTGTGTATTGTAAATGAGAGCAGCCATTTTAATTTAAAATAAGGGAAATGGGAGGAGTCTCCAGGAATCGTTAGCCAAAGCAGAGGACGACGAGTTGTGCACCATAACCTTTGTGACTGCAGGAACATGCTAGAAAATTTCAAAGGGAGGATAAGGCTGGTTCAGGGGCTGTGGTTAAAAAATAAATAAATCAACGGAAATCAACAGATCAGTTATTTATTGTTTCAAAATGCATTTCCAAGTATGTCTACCTCACTTTACCCTCAATTTGTTATTCTATTATTTTCAGAAAAAACAGTGCCGACATACAAATGAAAAGAGCGACATCCCCTCCAAAACTTGTTGACGTAAAGCACAGGGTCCCCTTGCTCTCAGGTTCAGGTTAGGTCGCTAACAGTGACTGACGGTCATGCATGGTCAAAGGAAAAACAGTTAGTTGTGCCCACCTCTGGGGTTTGACTGTGCTCAAAGCTCTTGAGAGTTTTCTTTTAGTGTTTTTAAAACTTGTATGTCTGAGAGTTTTGCTTTTGTTTTCATATAAATATATGAGAGTAACAAATATCTATGTAAATACAACCCAAATGTTAACTTTTATCATGCTTTGGACAGGTTCACCGCTTCTAATTGTGTCTCTCTCTTTTCCCCCTTTCATACCTGTTCTTTGTGTAGTGAAAAAGAAAGGAAATCACCCCCATTTCTGTAGTTTAATGGATGTGTGTATGAATAACTGTATTATTTTTTTTGCCTTTTGTTGTTTATTTACTGTCATTTTCTTTTGTACAATAAATCATTTATTTAGCTTATATGGTTTGCGTTGTGTTTTGATTTTTGTCTTTTATTTGCAAAGATTGTTGTACCACTGTCTAGGGGTGCCAATGCTGAAAATGAGTAAATGTGCTGCAAATACAAAAAGTATGGCACAGACAAGAGACTGTAAAAATAAGCCTGTAAGTTAAGGCTAGCATTAAAAAAAAAATCAGAGGAAGGCTAATGCAAAACTTAGGGTATAAACACAAAACAGAGGCTAGCAAAGACAAAACTGAAACTTTAAGAAGAAGAAAGAAAAAAAGCTGAGGCTACAAACACACTGAGGCTAGGAAACATAAAACTCAGGCTACAAACACATAACTGTGGCTATCAAACACAAAACTGAGGCCAGGAAAGACAAAGCTGAGGCTAGCCATGATAAAACACGTGGAAAGGCTGAAAATGATTTTTTTTTAAAAGCAAACCTTTGAATGGGAAGGCGTTGGAGGAAAGAAATAAAACCAGTGTTTCAGAGAGACTTAGACTTAAATTTAGACAAACTTTATTGGAATTTCAATATATACAGCTGTTTTGATAGTGAATGATCAGCTTACTGTAGCAGTGAAATGAACATTTCTAGTGCAGCGGTGATCGAAATGTAAACAGTGTAGGAGAGACATGGTGCAAAAGGCATTTATGTGGAAGGTTCATAGAAGTGGCGGCTGACCAAAAGAGGGTGTTAGGGCGCCGCCCCACACACCCAATAACCCTGATTAAGACACAAAAAAAATTATAATTCAATTTTAAATTAAAATGTCAAATATTTTGAAATATATTAATATGTAATTTTTTAGGTGTGCAAGATAAATATTTCATCTTTAATGACGAGTAAAGCGCCATTTCATTTTTTTTTTTTCAGATTGGTGACATATTTCCGCCTTAGGGCGCAAGAATGTTTATCCATTTACTCTCGTTAAAAGTTGTACATGCATTACAAACGTATAGGATGGCCCAGGGTGCAGCTAAGCAGTGACCTGACGTAACAGGAAGTGTATTTGCTCACCACCTCCCGTAGATGTTTTGCGGGTGATTGACAGGTCGAGTTGCTGGATTTGAAAACGCATTGGAGACAGAGATAGGGAAACGGCGCAAGAAAAAATAGATTTAATGAGGTCCCATAAAGCAACACCTTTTGAGCAGAGAACTTACCAAGAAAAGCTGGAAGTGAAGCCTCTTGGCACTGATCAGTCAAACATCAATATTAATCAGCAGTCCAAAGACAGAGGGAGGCTGTACACCGGGTCCTTTTCCAGGAACTGGTTTAGCAAGAAGAGGCAAATGCTTAATTCTGCTTTCCCTGCCTCCTTTTTCAAATGTCAGGATCTGACCCAGTACGGATAAAGACAGCTATGACTAATTTAAAGCACATTGTAGAAAAGGCAAAGAAGAATGAACAACCTGGGATTTACACTGGAAATAATATAACATAGTTTACTTTTTCTAGATGTCTGTGAATTTGTATAGTTGCTCTTAAATAAACATTCTCAGAAAATAGTTTTTATATATTAAAAAAATATAAAGCTGACTAATTGATTCTCCATTATTAAACTATTACATTATTTATTTTATGTTTGTGATACAATATTGGACCAGGGAAAGCGAAATGGAAATGGAGTCATAGCCTTCCTTATTCAGAATCCCTTTTACCCTGTACAAATCTCCCACCTTACCAGCACCAAAGCAACCCCAAACCATCACATAAACCGTCTCATAAACGTTCTTCTTTGTGATCCAAACACCTCAAACTTGGATTCATCCATCCAAAACACTTTTTCCAGTCTTCCTCTGTCCAATGTCTGTGTTCTTTTGCCCATCTTAATCTTTTTCTTTTATTGGCCAGTCTCAGATATGGCTTTTTCTTTGCCACTCTGCCCTGAAGCCCAGAATCCCGCAGCCGTCT